CTAGTTCTCAGGCTGAAACAGGAAAGCAAATAGACACAAATCCTGATGTCAGGTGGGGTCGCCATCAGAACTATAACCAGCCTTATTCCTTCCTTGTTAGAGCTCTTGAGACAGGAGGAGAGGGGAGAGAGGAGAGGAGAGGAGAGGAGAGGAGAGGAGAGGAGAGGAGAGGAGAGGAGAGGAGAGGGGAGAAGAAGGGATTGCAGAGGAGAGGAGAGGAGAGGAGAGGAGAGGAGAGGAGAGGAGAGGAGAGGAGAGGAGAGGAGAGGAGAGGAGAGGAGAGGAGAGGAGAGGGGGAGAGGAGAGGAGAGAGGAGAGGAGAGGAGAGGAGAGGAGAGGAGAGGAGAGGAGAGGAGAGGAGAGGAGAGGAGAGGAGAGGAGAGGAGAGGAGAGGAGGAGAGGAGAGGAGAGGAGAGGAGAGGAGAGGAGAGGAGAGGAGAGGAGAGGAGAGGAGTGGAGAGGAGAGGAGAGGAGAGGAGAGGAGAGGAGAGGAGAGGAGAGGAGAGGAGAGGAGAGGAGAGGAGAGGAGAGGAGAGGAGAGGAGAGGCCAGCAGACAAGAACACAAGCAAGGAATTAAACAAGACACAATGTAAAGAAAAAAGCACCTAAAGAAAATGTGTATTCCTATTAGATTATTTCCTGTCATCTTTTGTCCCTTTACAGTTCAGTCACAACATGATGATCAACATTTTTCCTAGTTTTCCAGGCCTTCACTGGCATTTTTTCACTCCCGATATCATTCAGTACCTTTTTAAAAATCTTTTCATCCAAAACATTTCTCTCTATACCACAAATGACCTTTTTAGAGCATTTTTTCACCTAGGTGCAGCCATGCGTGGTCGAGCGTGATAGAAAAATTATCTGGAAATAGGGCCCTGGGTAAGGTCCAGAGAATCATATCAAACTAGTAGTGCTTTCAGTTACACATTTGATGATAAAGGTATGTGAGGGCCATGAGGCATTTGGTATTGGATAGTCGTTTACCAGGACAAAAATGTGAGGAGACAGTAGATCAGTGTCAGGAGGAATTAGACCTGTCGTTCTGCTGACCTTTGACTAACCTGGAGACTGTCGCTTCTCATTTCTATGCTTTTCTATCATTTGTCTGCTTTCGTCCACAAAAGTCCTCAAAGCATGCTGCATGTTTATACATTGACCAAAAAGTGCCAGCCTGGATTAATGACTATTGCAGATGCTATATTGTTGCATCACTATATTGCAAAACAGATTGCAAGAACAAATTGCCCTTGCTAGGTTAACCCTAACAGAAGGGAGAGCACAGTCACCAAGTTCTTCACACCCAAAGCTGGCCAAGGATATCACATGGAAAATCACACATCCAGTGGAACTGTACACAGGATTTCTGACCCACAACATTCATGCTGCTCTTACTTGGGCTGGCCATGATCCTGTGACTGAGCAGGATTGTTGGCAATGATCTTTCCCCATGAACTTTCCCCATGAACAGAGGGCTTCTTCCTGCCAGGATCACCACCTCCTTTCTGACCCCACTTCTCTTTTCCATTACTTCTTCTTTATGGGACCCCTTCCTTTTGGGCAATTCTGCTTTCCAGGAGACCAAGTCCTAGAAATCTAGAAAGTTCATGTGCCAAAGCACAACATGTGATCAGTCTTCTAATAGGCGTCTCTGGCCCACATCTCTTTATTAACTGGAGAATTCAGGACATGTTACTTTTGTTTAGCCCACAAATTGACAAGCAGCCTGTACCAGTCACTGCTAGTAAGTAGCAGGCTTCTGCTTGAGACTTTGAACCTCATTTTGGGGTATTCACACACACGCATACAATTATCTGCTGCCTGTTAGAATTCACAGTTTAAGCCATTTTCAACCCACAGCATCCACAGTTCCTTGTCCAGTGCTGGATTAGTTGGCCAGGAATAAAGCTTGAGCTTTGAAGATTTTCACTTAATTGGAACATCTCCTCTCCCACTGAGCTCACTGGTGTTCAGTAGGGAGCTGGATTTCTGCTCACACTGCTCTCCCCAAACCTTTTGGTAGGGCTTCTGTACTGCCTGCAGAAAATCTGTAGGAACTAAGTGTCCCTGACACAAGTGAAATTCAGATGAACTTGGCCAACTTGGGCTCTCATGGGCTGCTCTTCACCCAGAACACAGGAAAAGTTATTGGTCAGCCAGAGTGAGGGGAGTGGGATTTTTTCCCAGTTTGGACTGAAATTCATGACAGAGATTAATTTTATTTCTTTTTTTTAACCAGAGGAATAGGCTCTGACCTGGTGGAAATCCCGTGACTCATGAAAAATTCGCGAGACCCGGACATGCTCCACATTCCTGACCTATTGGAGCACTCCCACCAGAGCTGTCATCACAGAGCCAGCCATCCAACTAGGAAAGGGAAACCATACCATGTGGCTTACAGTTAGTGTCATTTCTTAAATGTTTTCAAGAGAAATGACAATGTGCCTGAAGTGTTTCCAGGGTGAAATATATCAACAAAATTATTCATTATGAATAATTCTTCCAGCAATATTTCCTGTCACACATTAGGATCAAAAAGTGGAAAAGGATGTGAGAGAGAAAGCAAGAAAGAAAGAAAAGAAGGAAATTCTCCTCCCACACACTCAGAAGATGTGTCATTTCTGGATTGCATCAAACAGAAAGGAACCCAATAATTATGATTTCACATTTCCAGCAGAACTAAGCCCAGTCTCACACAAATAGCCTCACTAGTTAATAAGCTGCTAGCCCGTCAACCTAACCCTGAACATGCTATAAAGAACAGACCCAGCAGGCTACCAGTGCTAATTCTGGTTGTGGCTAGCCCTCATGTTTAGTTTTCATTAACCCTGTATAACTCAGGTGTTCATTAAACCTATTATTCACTTTATCTTCTAATGTGCTCATCCTGATGTGTCTTCAATGGTCAAAACCCAGACTGCATGTTTACAAAATGAGAGGGGGGCATCAGCAAAGAGCCTGATTTATGTTAGCTTATGAAATTATGACATCTTACAGATATTTTTCTTTATGTAAACCTGAGCCTGCTATGGTTTAGCCAGGAACAAAGCTGCTGAGTGGCCTTCTTGTGAGCAAGAGTTGACTTCTGGGATAGATGGTCCAAGTCCTGAAATACTTGGCAGATCTGAGCTTTGTTCCCAGTCAGAAATGAAGCAAGATTTTACTTGCTTGACTACTACTTCTCAAGAGTTGTGAGACCTTCCCCTAGGAAGCACCTCATTTTTACAGTGATTTGAGTTAATAGAAGTGCACAAAGCCAGAGCAAAGCTCAGACTGACATCCCTGGAGCTGGCTCTGCAGAGGTTTGGCCACTTTTTCAATAGACACAGAGACATTCAAGTTACAAGAAGCTATAGAACTTTCAGCTCAGTGACCCTGTCTATGCAAAAGACTGTTGCAGCAAAACTGCTCTGGTAAGAAGTCTTGTTCCAAACTAAAGTTCACACAGCAGTGAGACATCTGCATGAAGCCAGGTCCTGAGCACATGTTTAAGTCAATGTAAGCAAGCAGACCTTCTGATGTCAGAGGAACTGCTCCCAGGAGTTACTGTACTTGTGTGCCCAGGTCACTAAGCACTGGATGTCAGCGTGTCCTGCAGCAGCACAGTGGGTTCACAGCTAGGAGAAATTCTGGTTTGCATAAATATTTTTTTATTTTTAAAGTAGTATATCAGCTTTTTCAGTGTCTCCCTGAAAAAGGAGATTCCTGTCTCACAGAACACAGCAACAAAAGGGAACATAGAGATTTTTATAGCTTTTGTCATCTTTTAATGTTATTTTATGAACTGCGGTTATAGCAGTTTCAAATTGCAGCCATTGCTTGCTGCTTTGTTTCTACTTATCGGATTCAAAGCCAAAATTAAAAGTAGAGCTAGCATGTTTGACATGCTTCATCCTGTGCAAGAGTACAACCTCTAACAGCTAGGAAGAAAACATTGAATTAAAAAAAATAAGGAAAGAAAGAAAAGGAAAGCAAAGCTCTTAGTTTTAGGGAATTAATATTCAAAAGCCACGATACATGGCTCTGAAAGTAAGTGGAGTAGCTGTACATTGCAAAGACTAGTGTATGCCTTTGACATGCTAAATAATGATATCTCCTTATAATGATGTGTTAATGTAAGGGGAGTGATTTTGCAAAATTTTATGCCTTATTAAGGAAATGATTCAAGCCCAGGAAATGTGCGGGTTAAGTACTTGCTTTCATAAACATGGGTTATGGTGGAAAAAAAGATTTTAGATATTATGTGGAAAAAATGTAGTAAAAAGCGCTGAATTAGCCCATTCCATTACATTGAATTGTTCAGCAATTATGGTCATCCCCCAGCCTAGAAAATTAAAGTATATGATGAAAACCCAATCTAAAGATACTCACTGCTCTGCTACTGAAGACATAGCATATCATGCCTAAAAGACACTTAGGGCTTCAATCACCAAAAAAAAGTTCTATGAGGAATAAGTTTAAACCAGCTATAGTCCCAGCCCGGTGCTGCCCTCCTCTCTTTCCTTTCACTTCCCGAGCCACTTACACAAACAGGAATTGCATCAGACTGTGGAGGGCTCAAACATGCTCTTTGGAAGTGGAAGATTTCCTGCAAAACTTTAAGACTGCAAGAGCAGGCTTTTGTGCTCTTTGCTTCGAAAGGCAGGATCAGGCCACAAAGCAGCATGATAGGGATGGCCCATCATGCTAGGGAAGGAAAATGTGTCATGATCTGATCTGGATGGAGTGGAAGAAATAATTGGCAAATATTTGTTTGAACTTAAAAGCCACTTTGTATTTCACTGCTTTCCCTGTGCCATCATGTTCACTCACCACAACCATCTTGTTCCTGGATGGTATGTAAATGAATGGTCATGAAAAGTACGCTTTTCATGCACCTGCTTGAGCAGTGTCTGCAAGTCCTTTTCAGGCTGCAGAGCTATCTGCAGCATGGCTTTTGAACGACACTGATTTTCTCAGCTCTATTTATGATCTAGTGTTTACTAGAGACGTTCACACCTACTGGGTATTAGCTTAGCATATCTTTCTCTTTCAGCTCCAAAAGGCACTCACTGATCCTTCTTTTTTGGTTTCTCTCAGTTGCCTCTCCCCAGTGTTTAGAAACAGTAACTTTAGCCAGATTTTTTTTTTTCCCCCTAAATTTAAAAATAATAATGTGGCTCCTCACTATAAAATGTCTGTCTCCTCCACTCCCAGCCTCCTGGGGCTGCCGTGGGCATGGTCTGCAAATTAAGTGGAGGCACTCAGCCCTCAGTTCAGCTCTAGTCAAACATTAGCTGCAGTGTTTACCCTTGTGTAATCTTCAGTTTTGCATTAATTTAATACTGCTCAGCACTTTTTTAACATATTCAGCAACTCCGTGGTACATAGTGCTTTGTGTCTGTATCTCCCCCACCAAACCAAGTTTTGATTTGTGACCAAACTCATCAAAGTAAGATCCTTGCAATACTTTTCTCCGTCTACTTTGATCTTTACATAATAAAAAAAAGCATGTTGCTTTATGTGGTAATTCAGCTATACTCTGAGGGTTTTTTCCCCCTTAACTTCAAAGAGAGCAAATAGGAAATTGTTTTCATTTTTCTTTCACATTTTACAAACAACATGTTCTTGTTGTTTCTGAGCAGCAGAAGAGAGTAAGCATCTCCCAATTAATAATTCCCAGGTAATATCATGGCCTCATGTAAGCACAGATCTCAAGAAATTCAGTTCATAACACAAACAAATAAAATTCTCTTTGAAGTTCTGGCTAAAGGACAGCCAGAAACAGAGTAGGAGCACATCATCATTCTTAATCAGCTTTCTATCTTTGAACCTTCTTCTGAGCAAAATAAAACAAACAGAAATCTTGGAGTATTTAGTTAGAAAGCCACTCACCTCCTGGCTTCAAAACTGCAAAATCCCACTGCACTGGAAAGAGCATCAACTAATGCCACACAACCCAGAGGTCTCACCCCAGCCCTGTTACAGGTAATCCCACAGAGAAGAGGGAAGAGATTTTGCTAAAGCAAGGACTGAAGTAAAGTCAACACCAGACCTTGGGCTTTTTGGCTGTCCAAATAAAGATCTAGCATTTCACACCCACGAAGGACACTTGTATAACTCCCACTACACAGCAGAGCGGGCAATCAGGCTCTTACATCAGCATTTGAATTGCATGATCTTTTCTCGGCTGGTGAGGCACATCAGCACATGCCTCAATCCCACCTACACTGATATTAATAACTCTGCAAAAATCAATAGCTGTGTGATGAAAAGATTTCAGGCTTTGTGTTTTTTTATCATGTGGGGGCCCACGCAGGATCTGGAGAGGACCCAGAGGACCCGAACACAATTGGGACAATTTCCACTCCACATCACAGTGCCCAGGAGAGGAAAGCTGGCAGCAACAAGGGCATTTCGGCTGAAGTTAGGTTATACAGAGACACAAAGTCCAAGAAAAAGAGCTGCTTGAGCTCTAACACTCCCCCTTGCTGCTGATTTTTCTTCAAATCCCTCTCACTGTGCTTCTCCCACCCTAAGGACCCAACATGCCTGAACTTGGCCCACAGGGAGGCAGGGCTGGCTCAATCTCTGGCATGCCAAATTTAGTACAAATAGCAAAAATCCCAGAGCAAACAAGGGAAAACACAGAGCTTGCTGTTCCTTGTACATGAGATAACTCCCTTTAGCTTATTGACGTACATCGCTTTGTTTCTTCTCCCATTTAGGAAAGTATACAATTATGTGCATGGCCGGAAGCACCAAGCCAGTTCTACTGAATGGTACCCTAATGGCTGAGGGCTCCCCATGGACCCACTTAATCTCCTCACGCCTGTCTGAGGCTCTGCTCAAGTCAAAGAGATGAAGGAAAAGTCAGTGAGAATTTAGGCACGCCTGGCTCCGACAAGCCATTTGCACCAATTCACAAAGGAAAAACCTTGGAAGTGTTTCCAAAAATACAGGCCAGTCGTGTGAGTTAAGGCTGTGAGGGAGCCTAACGCGCAGACTTTCCCCATAATCAGGGTTTACCTCAACTCTGGTTATTTTGTAAACTCTGGTTTCTCAACAGAAACGGCTCATCATGCTACACCCCAGCTCGACAGACATGCAGAAAGCTTTTGTAAAGAGCTAGAAGTAGAACAACCCGGCTGTTGCTTTCATGAAAAGTGTTTGTTAGCAAACTATCTCATCATTTTCCAAGCATTTGGGTGGGCGGGGGAAAAATATTAATAATAATTACATAAATGGGAAGCTGCCAGATTGATGACACTAAAAAGCAGGGGAGTATTTCAGGCCATGGACAATTACCAGTGTGGACAGTAGCAGCATAGCTGTCCCCACAGTCTCTGATTAGGGAGCTGAGAAGGAGAGCCTGGGCTTTATCCTGGAGGCCAGTGAATTATTCAGAGCCAGCCATTTCCCAGATTGTCCCTTTTTTTTTTTTCTCTTTTGATTTGAGGAGTGAATTTCTGCAGAGCCCTTATGATTTCAGAGATTTATTTGTCAGATTTGTTGAATAACCCTTGGCCCGTGGCCCATGACCTGTCTGCAAGCTATTCACGTTGAGGCTGCACAGGCCAAGCAGCATGAGGGAGGTTAGTGTTAGGTGCAGGCTGGGGCTGGAGGCACCAAAACCACGGGAAAGAACTCACGCTGGACGACCACCACCCCAGGGCTCACCCCGAAGGCCAGAGTGGTGTTACATGCCCCTTAGCTGGTGGGAGAAGGCAAGACCACTCCTGTAGCAGAGCTTGGTGGCTGTGCAATACAAGCTGAGCTTTTTGCTGCTTTACTCTTGGAAACACATCAGTCCGTCCATGCAGACTGTGCTGCATCCCCACAGCTACCAGAAGAGACACAGACTGTATGTGCAGATGTAGCCGTGGGGATCATCGCTTTTCTCTATTGCTTTTCCCTACCACTTTTGTAATCAGAAGTCGGGACTCAATACCTGTATTCATTTATTTAGCACTCACTAGGCTATGAAGCTGAGTTTCCATTACAGAGGGACATGAACTGCATCACCAAGAATTTGCTTCTTAAAAAAATCGGTCACGTTTTTGTGAGAAAAGAAATGCATGTTATTTTGACTTGATTGATGTTACCACAGGGTAGACCCACCAAAATAATATGGAGGAGAGACAGTGACTCCCCTGCACCACGATGACTAATAAATCAAGGGCAACACAACCTGGATCGAATTCAAACCCCCGCAGACTCTTGACTGTGTTACTGCCAAACCCTGAGCAGCCCAGTCCCTTTCTCCCTCATCCCTCAAAAATATGTTTAAATTGTAAACACAAAGTTTGACTGTTTGCTAAGGAAGTGGTTATGGTGGGAAAATAATGCCACTGTGGAGGAAAGAGCAGGAGGGTTTTACAAGATGCAGTGGGATTTACCATCATCTCCTGAAGATCAACTTTCTCACCCCTTTGTGATCCCTTTGCTTTTGCTTTAATTCTTACTGAAATAAAAGTCCCTTCTCTGGCTGTGGACAGGATGGTATGCAAAACCCACACAGGATGACTGCATTGTATTGATATCATGAAAAAATATCATCTTTCCTTGTATTCATAGTCCTATGAGACCTCTGGTTAAACATGTGGCCTTGTTTAACCCCTGCTTTATTCTCCAATGCAGCTGATGTAATTACAAACCAAACATATTTTACACCGTGTTGTAGTGTACCGATGTATCTCCTGTTAAACAGAATAATTTCTTGCATCATGGAAACTGGGATTAACTTTCCCCTTTGAGGACATAAGACTGTGAGCTGGTACCTAGCTATCTATTCTGTGTAACAATACCCATGAAGGCACCACAAAAATCCATCGTCATGTATTTTGGCTGCTCAGATCTTAGCAGCATGTTTATAGGACCGAAGTCATCTCTCCCTTGTGTCCTGTGGAGCTGTACCAGGGACAGACTCACCCTAATGAACCACTGGTGGCAGAATCAGAAAATTCTCAATAATGGAGCAAAGCAGAAAACAATGCTGGCTTGTTCCTAAATCCGCAGCGCTCACATCATGTATATCTTTACTCAGTGATGCAGGATGACTCACAAAAATGTTAGCTCAAGATATATTTTAAACTCCTGAGCTAGCACTGTCCTGAGAAGAAAATTCTAATTTTGCTTCCTGTGGGCATACTTTTGAGAGCAGATTATAAATCTGAGTAGTGAAAATTGCACTCCCTTTTTTTCCACACAGGCAGTTATGGAAGATCAGGATTTTTCACTGCAAAAACAGCAAATTGCCCACACAAACAATTTACATGCACACCCAAAACCACACACCCAAAATCCCATGCTCCTGTTCTCCACCCTTGCATAGTGTGTTGCTCTCTTTTCTTCTCTGGTTGGTCTAAATTTGGCTTTATGAGATTGCCCCTAGCTTTGCAATAACAAATCTAGGTCTTTCCATCAAGGCAGGAAATATTTGCTCCCTAAAACCAGCAGAGCCTGTTCCATTTCTTACTGGATGCAGTCGTGTCTGCCCATTCACCCAGTGTGTTTTAGCTGGAAAGTTGTGCTGAGGCCATTTTGAATGTCTAGCTTTGAATGTCAGGCACGAAACAAGTTTGAGGAAGCTGGTCCTGCGGTGGGACACGAGACAGCACTGAACAAGCTACTGCTTCCAACTGAGGTAGCATAGCTCCCTTCCCACACTGCCATGTCCATGCTGTCTAGTAGGGCCTGCTTTTCTCCTGGGAATCTCTTCCCTCCTTTTAGACCCAGCTCAAGGTGCCCCTCACATCACCTGATCCCACCTTAACTCCCAGTTCCCCATCCCCTGTCAACTCCACATATGTCTTCTTGTTCTTTTTAGGAGCAAATCAAGCACTTTTCTCAAAATAATTAAATCCATGTACGCTTCTAGGAAAAGCTGACTTCAAGGACTGCTCCCTAAGGAGAGCACAGGCAAGATTACAGCTGCTTTAGTTTCTTACAGTAGTGCTGTGTTGTTTCCCAGCAAGCTTTCTGAATCACGGTATCACAGAATGGTTGAGGTTAGAAAGGACCTTGAGAGATCATCTGGCCCAAAGTCCCTACTGAAGCAGGGCCACCTAGAGCTGGCTGCCTAGGACCATGTTGAATCATCTTTTGGATATCTCCAAGAGACTCCACAACCTCTCTGGGCAATCTCTACTACTGCTCAGTTGCCTTCACAGTGAAAAAGTGTTTTTTGATGTTCAGAGATAACCTCCTGTGTTTCAGTTTATGTTCATTGACTCTAGTCCTAACTCTGTGCACTACTGGAAAGAGCCTGACCTCATTTTTGCCCTCTCCCTTTAAGTATTTATATATACTAATAAGGTGCCCCTGATCCTTCTCAAGACTCAACAGTCCCAGATCTCTCTCTTTCCTCATAGAAGAGATGCTCCATTCTCTTAATCCTCTTTGCAGCCCTTT